TTCTGGGAGTTATAGACAATAAAGGGTTTTGAGGGGTCTTAAATGGTTATTTTGGGATGGTTTGGGGGGATATGGAGCTGGGGGTTAATGGGGGGGTTATTTGGAGGGGGTCTTATAGAAAGAGCACGAGATAAACGTGTTTGGGGTCAGTGCTGGGAGTTCTGGAGGATGAAGGGGGGTTGGGGTTGGGGTGTTCCCCTACAGAAAGCACCGTGGGTGGGTGGGTGGGTCTCTCCTGAGGTCTCAGGTCTCCCAGAGAAAAGGGGGGAGGTTGGGATGTGATTCCCATCTAGGAAACAGGGTGGGCTGGGGGGGTTGGGGTGGGGGGGGGAGTTTCTGCAGGGCCTTATAGGAAATTGTATAGGGTCTATCTCACATATATAGGGTGTATCTCATATAGAGAGAGTGTGTCTCACATATACAGGGTGTATCTCACACATATATAGGGTGTAATTTATATATATAGGGTGTATCACACATATATAGGGTGTATCACATATATAGGGTGTATCTCACACATACAGGGTGTATCTCACCTATACAGGGTGTATCTCACACATATAGGGTGTATCTCACACATATAGGGTGTATCTCACCTATACAGGGTGTATCTCACACATATAGGGTGTATCTCACACATATAGGGTGTATCTCACCTATACAGGGTGTATCTCACACATATAGGGTGTATCTCACACATATAGGATGTATCTCACCTATACAGGGTGTATCTCACCTATACAGGGTGTATCACTCCCACACAGCCTGTGTCCCTTTCCTGCAGGGTGCAGCTCTCCTATACCTTGGATCTCTTGTCTGTAGGGTGTGGCTTTAGTCCACAGCCTGTCCCCCTTGTGTGTGGGGTGCAGTTTTTGTCTATAGGGTGTCTCTCATATACAGTGTTTCCCTCTTGCTGACAGGTTGTCTCTCTCCTCTGAAGCCCACAAATCTTGTCCATGGGGTGTTTCTCTCCTCTCCAGGGTGTTTGTCCCCTCCCTAGGAGGGGGTCCCATGCTGGGGGTGTCTCTATAGGGTCTCTGGTGCCCAGTGTGTGTCTCTGGTCTGTGGGGTGTGTGTGTCACCCACTCTGTAGGGTGCATTTCCCATCTATAGGGTGTATCTCCCCTTTATAGGGTGTATCTCCCCTTTATAGGGTGTATCTCCCATTTATAGGGTGTATTTCTCACCTATAGGGGCACTCCTATTATCACTTGCTATTTATTACTACTTCTTATCATTGATTCTGTTTTATATTATTATTATTATTATTATTATTATTATTATTATTATTATTATTATTATTATTATTATTATTATTTAGGGACTCGACTCCACCCCGCTGCCCCACCCAGCCCCACATTTGGACATCCCAAATCGCCACC